CTCTTGAGTCCCATCTAAACCACATCAAGGCGTATAATATATTGACAAGATTCATATAACACTATCAAACTGTTTCAAAATTCATAAACAGAAAACATGTACCGTATTTTTCGCTCTATAAGACACACTTTTCCCCTCCTAAAAAGCAAGGGGAAATGTGTGTGCGTCTTATGGAGTGAGTGCAGGCTGCGCAGCTATCGCTAAAGCCAGGAGAGCAAGAGGGATCGGTGCGCACCGATCCCTCTTGCTGTTCTGACTTCGCCTCGCTGGAGAGGTGCTGCGCAGCTTTCCCTCTCTGCACAGTGCCTCTTCAATGCTGAAGAGCCCCTTCCATTTCTCCTCCCGCTTTGCTGGAGAGGCGCTGTGCAGAGGGAGAGAATTTTTTCCCCCTTGTTCTCCTCCTCTAAAACTAGGGACGTCTTATGGTCGGGTGCGTCTTATAGAGCGAAAAATATGGTAATATGTGCAGGGAGTCACAAACAAAGAAGAGTCAAGTAACTATTCCATAAGCAGAATGATTTAAAGGCTTTAAAGACTCAGCCTTCCCTCCACCCACCTTTGGCTTACCTCCTTGGTGAACTTGAGGGTCTGCAAGGCAAGCTCTCTGGTGGGAGAGAGGATAAGAGCCCGTGCCCCCGTCTTGGCACTGTGCACCTTCAGCTTCTCAAACATGGGGATGAGGAAACAGGCCGTCTTTCCGCTGCCCGTCCTCGCCATCGCCACCACATCTTTGCCGTCCAGGATCACGGGGATGGTCTGCAAAACGAAGCTGATTCAGAGTGGAGGCAGGGGAAATCGAACGACAGCAGCAAACCTGAAGTCAGGGACTGTGCGAACCGCACAGAGAGGATGAGGAATCTCCTCACAACTCTCCGAACCCTTAACTACAACGTCCAGTTAAGGATGGGGCCTAGGAAACACACAACCAAATTTACACGCAAAATGTCATGAAGGTAATGATGAAAAAACAACTTGATTGTCCCCATATTGCAGATTTTGGGGTGAAGGGAATGAAGCCGAGAGAGAGAGAGAGAGATCTGAATAAAATTTCATAATATTGTAGAGTTGGAAAGTGGAGCAAGCTTTTTTTCCTCCTGCTCCATAGGATAGGACTCACACCAATGAGTTCAACAACAACAATAATAATATTTTATTTATATCCCGCCCTCCCCAGCCGAAGCCGGGCTCAGAGCAGCTAACAACAATAAAAGTAACACAGCATTCTAAAATCAATTCAAAATCAAATTAATGGCAACCATTGGGCTAAAGTTCTGTGAGGATTACCAAAAGAGGGGGTCAGGCTGTGCCTTGGCCAAAGGCCTGGTGGAACAGCTCTGTCTTGCAGGCCCTGCGGAAAGATGTCAGGTCCCGCAGGGCCCTAGTCTCTTGTGACAGAGCGTTCCACCAGATCGGGGCCACAGCCGGAAAAGCCCTGGCTCTGGCTGAGGCCAGCCTAACCTCCCTGTGGCCTGGGACCTCCAGGATATTTTTGTTTGAAGACTGTAAGGTCCTCTGTGGGACATACCAGGAGAGGCGGTCCCGTAGGTACGAGGGTCCTAGGCTGTATAGGGCTTCAAAGCTTAAACCTGATCCTGTACTCCACCGGGAGCCAGTGCAGCTGGTATAGCACTGGGTGAATGTGATCCTGCAGAGAGGACCCCGTAAGGAGTCTCGCTGTGGGATTCTGCACCCGCTGGAGTTTCTGGGTCAGTCTCAAGGGCAGCCCCATGTAGAGTGAGTTACAATAATCCAGTCTGGAGGTGACCGTCGCGTGGATCACAGTGGCTAGGTCAGGGCGAGAGAGGTAAGGAGCCAACTGCTTAGCTTGGCGGAGGTGAAAAAATGCTGCCTTTGTTATAGCTGCAATCTGCGCCTCCATGGAAAGGGAGGTGTCAAATATTTATACCCCGCCCATCTGGCTGGATTGCCCCTAAACATCACAAAGAACTTTCTGACACTAAGAGCTCTTTGACAGAGGAACAGCCTCCCTTGGAAAGTAGTGGACTCTCCTTCATTTTTAAACAGAGGTTGGATAGCCATTTTTCACAGATGCTTCAGTTGACATTCCTGCATTGTAGGGGGTTGGGAGTAGATGACCCTTGGGGACCTTTCATAAAATCGTAGAATTGTAGTGTTGGAAGGGACCCTGAGGGTCATCTAGTCCAACCCCCTGAAATGCACAAACAGAGTATTTCTAAAGCAAAAATGAAGAGACCGGCTTAGATGGACCCTTGATTTCTAATCCAGCATGGCATTTCCTGGGTCCTCACCTTCCTCTGGATGGGAGTCGGTATTTTGTACCCTTTCTTCATGATCCCTTTGAACACAGGGTAGCCCAGACCTAAGGGAGAAAACAGATAATTGAAATTCACCATTATTTTCAAATCTGGAGCGCAGGGCAGGGAGGACGCTGGACCAGATGGGCCTTTGGCCTGATCCAGAACCCTGCTGCCCACGACCCGTACAAAAACCTTATAATGCAATCCCATATCTGCATCTATAGCATGCCTTGCCAAGTAATACTTCTGAATATGGCTCACTGGAGGTCAACACGCCAAAAGAATTTGGTGTACACATTTGCCTCTGGCGTATGGGCATAGCCTTTGATCACTATCAGCAAAACCCCATAGAATAGGATGCTCCAATCATCAGGTGAGCACTGAGGGGATGATAATCAGCTACAGAGATTAGATATAGTGTTTTCAGCTCATCGGAACTAAAACTATTCAGTTTTTAAATGAACATTTTCAGCAGTGCTTAGCCAATTTCGGTGCATTTCAGCAAATGGTCTCTCATTCTCTAGCATTGCCCCTCATTTGCCTTCTCTTTCAACAGCCCTCAAAGCACAATAATTATAAACAAAATTAATTAACATTAGTGTTGAGGCAAAATCCCTTCCTCACTACATCGCCACAACTACATTTGTTCCATTTTGAAATCTTTAAGATAATATTTTAGTTTTCCGTTATGTTGCTTTGACTGTATATTTTATATTTGACTTTCTTAAGATTGTTTTGTTTATGTTTTGTTGATTTAATATGCTGTAAACCACTCTGAGATTTTTCTTAAAAATATAAAGCGGCATAGAAATTAAATCAATAAATAGGCCAACGCACCTTGGACAGTGGAGGGCACTTTGCTGCGGGCCGCCACAAACTTTGTTCTGGCCCCTGCTAGCGTACAAGAACAGCCAATTTTGTAACATTAAAAACGCTCTCCCTCACTCACCCATGGACTGAAAGCCTCCTGATTTCTTCTTTTTCTTGTTCTGGGCCCGAACCATTTCCTGGGTGTCTAGCTCAACATCAGAAGTGCAATCCGATGCCGGAAAAGCTGGAACCGGCATCTCATAGTCCTTTGAACCACACCAAAAAAGAAAACAAGAGAGAGTTTGAATACAGAGCAGCAACAAGAAGAACCAACCCTGTGTGGGCTACAACCCAGTGTTTTCTCTACCCTGTATTATCCTCACAACAACCCCGAGAGGTTGTTGTTGTTGTTGTTTAGTCGTGTCCGACTCTTTGTGACCCCATGGAGCAGAGCACGCCAGGCACTCCTGTCTTCCACTGCCTCCCGCAGCTTGGTCAAACTCATGCTGGTAGCTTCGAGAACACTGTCCAACCATCACTGTCCAACCATCTCGTCCTCTGTCGTCCCCTTCTCCTTGTGCCCTCCATTTTTCCCAACATCAGGGTCTTTCCCAGGGAGTCTTCTCTTCTCATGAGGTGGCCAAAGTATTGAAGCCTCAGCTTCAGGATCTGTCCTTCCAGTGAGCACTCAGGGCTGGTAGGTTAGGCTGAAGAGCTGTTTTCTTTGTTTTGGGCAAAGGGTTGCTTGTCCCAACTTCTCCTCCAAGAATGGCTCCACCTCGCCTCATTTCATCCTCACAACAACCCTGCGAGACAGGCTAGGCTGAGTGGGGATTTGAACCCTGGCTTACCAGGTCCTAGTCCGACAAGCCACTATACAGTGGTACCTCGGGTTAAGAACTTAGTTCGTTCCGAAGGTCCGTTCTTAACCTGAAACTGTTCTTAACCTGAGGTACCACTTTAGCTAATGAGGCCTCCTGCTGCTGCCGCGCTGCCGGAGCACAATTTATGTTCTCATCCTGAAGCAAAGTTCTTAACCCGAGGTACTATTTCTGGGTTAGCGGAGTCTGTAACCTGAAGCATATTTAACCTGAAGCGTATGTAACCCGAGGTACCACTATATAGTGGCCCCAGGCTCCCGATCCTTGCCTTAAGCCCCGGCACCTGCGAAGGGAGGGGGTCTCCAACTGACCTGCTGCTCGTCCAAGTCCCGATCCTTGCACCGGCGCTGCCTTTTCCTCCGCCGCCCCGTGGCCTGGGCAGGAGCCATGGGAGAAGCGCCGCAGATAACCGCCAGGCCGAAGAAGTCACTCCGGATCCAGGAAGGCAGGGAGCCACGTGCGTCGAATGGGCGGGGGCCCGGTGACCAGAGGCGGGACATCGATTAAGCCCCGCCTCTTCTCCCTAGCAAGCGCTCCAGGAGTGGCTGGCTTTTCTCTGCCACTCACTGCTGGGACGCCAGGTTCTTTAGAGATAAAAAGTTTAGATCAGCTGATCTCTTATCTTGAGGAAGAACCTCCGGGTTCAGTTAGAGCGCCTCGTTTATTTGTTAGTTTTAAAGGCAAGCATTTGATGAAATGGGCTCTGGCCCATGAAAGCTTTCGCCACAATCGTGTGTCAGGGCAGATCCACACCATATATAGAAAGTATATGGAAGATCCAGCGCACATTTAAAGCGCATGCCTTCCTTTATTATTATTTTTTTAAAAAAATAAATCAGAGAAGCGTAGTTTTCCGCACACGGATCTACAATCTCCAAAATACATTAAAGCATATATGATTCCCAGCATGGGAACTGTAGTTTTCACCTCACGGAGCTAGAATGTCAGCATCCTTAACGGACTACAGTTCCCATAATTCTTTAGGAGAAATCAGGCGCTTTAAATGTCCACTGTGGTCTTTATGAACCACATACGCAAAACTTTATTGCTTGCTTTTCTGCAACAGACCAAGGCTGCAAATCCTAATCCCGTTTACCCATGAGTAAGACCATACTGAATTCACTAGGGATTTCTTCAGGTTAGGATTGCAGTGTTAAAACGGCTACTCATCTGCAAACTTCACGCGGCGGAGGTGAGAGGTGGTATTCATAGAAATCAATGGAGGGTTGCTCAAGATAGCCCTGGTGTTGGCATTGCACTTTAGAGATGAGGCTGAGGATGCTCAAATAATCCTGCCCCACGTTGCAGCCAAAGCCAATCTCTGTAGACTGATTTCCTCCTAGCCCAAACCCGGTGAGTATTGCATGTATAAGGCTTCTTTCTGCGCTTTTGGTCTGCATGTATTGATATTTAAGTTAAATTTTATTTAACTTAAAAATAAAAAATAAAATTCCACGTTTCAGAAGACAGGAGAAAAACTGGGAACTCCTGATGGTACTGCTACAAGAAAGTGGAGGGGGCGGCGGCAAATCCTGTCCACACGCCCATCAAACTCTAAAGCCCTACATTTCTCCAGGGATTTCTATGGGACGTTCTTCCTTCCTGTCTAAAAGAGGGGGGAGTCTTGAGCAAGCGGAAGCCGCTTAGACTATGTGAGTCAATCGATTCATTCTCCTCTTGGGAGTCCTTGTCCCCTCCGTAGAATGGTTTCGCCCAGTCCTCTCCCCCCCCCGCAAGGAGGCACAGTCTCCAAAGTTTTCATCCTACATTTGGGGTTCCAAGTGAAACTCGTAAGTACTGGAAAGGAAGTATTATTGGTGATAGGAGGCGATTATATGAATCAATATTTTGGGGCGGAATCAAAGGCAAGTTTCTCGCTGCAGTGCTTTGAAATAATATTTCTACGCCAGCGGTGGTTGGGCTCTACGTTTGCGTTTCTGGCTGCGAATGGGAACCGGAAAAGAGATCCGTATTGACCTCTTTCTTTGCTCAGGCATTTCTTTGGTTGGGAGAAGCTGGGGAGAAGAAAGGAACGTCAAGCAGAACGAGGAGGAAAGCTGCAAATCCGTAAGTCTAGGAGGGGAGGCGACCAGGTTTGCGGGGCCCGTGCCCGTTTGCAGAAATGTACATTCCTCCATGCAAATTGTTGCTTCGTCTTCCGCAACTGCATTTTGCATTCAGAGCGGGCTGTGATGCTTGCGTCTCCCAGGGAAGCGAGATCCAAACAACGCAGACAGCAGAGGGCAGTTAAGACTGCTCGATTCTATGCCTGCTTCTCGGAGAGCAAGCCCCGCTTGATTTTGACGGGGCATGCTTCCAAGCGTGAGTGACTTGGGAATCTTTTGCTGGAAGATTCAGGGCAGATGAAAGAAAACCCAGGCAGTGCAGAGTCAAACTATGGAACTCCCTCCCACAGGAGGCAGTGATGGTCACCAACTTGGATGGCTTTAAAAGAGGATTGGACAAATTCAGAGAGGAGAAGGCTATAGAATTGATTTTAGAATGCTGTGTTATTTTACTGTTGTTAGCCGCTCTGAGCCCGGCTTTGGCTGGGGAGGGCGGGATATAAATAATTTATTATTATTACAGTGGTACCTCGGGTTAAGTACTTAATTCGTTCCGGAGGTCCATACTTAACCTGAAACTGTTCTTAACCTGAAGCACCACTTTAGCTAATGGGGCCTCCCGCTGCCGCTATGCCTCTGGAGCACGATTTCTGTTCTCATCCTGAAGCAAAGTTCTTAACCTGAAGCACTGTTTCTGGGTTAGCGGAGTCTGCAACCTGAAGTGTATGTAACCTGAGGTACCACTGTATTATATTGATGGAAACCGGGCAATGCTACTTAGCAATACTTCTAAATACAGTGGTACCCCCGCGAGACGAAAAACTCGCAAAACGAAAGGTTTTTTCGTTTTCAAGTTGCCTCGCAAGACGAATTTCCCTATGGGCTTGCTTCACAAAACGAAGCTTGCCCAGGGGACAGCGGGTCTTCTCTTTTGAAGCAAGGGGCGGCGGGGAGAAGCGATCTTCTCCCCGCAGCCCCAGGTCCGGGGACAGCGGGAAGCGCTTCCCGCTGCCCCCGGACCTCTTTTGAAGCAAGGGGCTGCGGGGAGATCGCTTCTCCCCACCGCCCCTTGCTTCAAAAGAGGTCCGGGGACAGCGGGAAGCGCTTCGCGCTGCCCCCGGACCTCTTTTGAAGCAAGGGTTTGCGGGGAAAAGCGATCTCCCCGCAGCCCCTTGCTTCAAAAGAGGTCCGGGGGCAGCGGGAAGCGCAGCGCTTCTTCCCCGCTGCCCCCGGACCTCTTTTGAAGCAAGGGGCTGCGGGGAGATCACTTCTCCCGGTGCTCCGAAGCTGGGCGGGGGGAGGGAACACCTGCCCCCACCGCCCCGCTTCGGAACGCTGCCCCGAAGCGGGGCGGGGGGGCGGGAACACCTGCCCCCACCGCCCGGCTTCGGAACGCTGCTCCGAAGCGGGGCGGGGGGACGGGAACACCTGCCCCAGCCGCCCCGCTTCGGAACGCTGCCCCGAAGCGGGGCGGCGGGAACACCTGCCCCAGCCGCCCCGCTTCGGAACGCTGCCCCGAAGCGGGGCGGCGGGAACACCTGCCCCAGCCGCCCCGCTTCGGAACGCTGCCCCGAAGCGGGGCGGGGGGGCGGGAACACCTGCCCCAGCCGCCCCGCTTCGGAACGCTGCCCCGAAGCGGGGCGGGGGGGGGCGGGAACACCTGCCCCAGCCGCCCCGCTTCGGAACGCTGCTCCGAAGCGGGGCGGGGGGGGCGGGAACCTCTCACCCCGCCGCCGGGCATCGGAACGAGGTCCTGGACCTCTTCTGAAGGCAGGCGGGGGCAAAAGTCTTTGCTCCCCCCGCCTGCCTTCCCGGGACAGCGGAGACTTCTCCGCTGCCCCGGGCGATCTTAAAATGCTGGTGGGCGGGAGCGAAGCGTTCGCTGCCGACCCCCAGCATTTTAAAATCTCCTCGGGGCAGCGGAGACTTCACTCCCGCCCGCCAGCATTTTAAAATCGCCCCGGGACAGCAGGGGCTTTTAAAATGCTGGCGGTCGGCAGCAAAGCCCTCCTGTCCCCGGAGCTTGCGGGGCGGGAGGTGGGAAGAAGGGCTTTTCTTCCCACCGCCAGCCTTCAGAACAGCCTTCTGAAGGCTGGCAGTGGGAAGAAAAGCCCTTGTCCCCCCCCCAGCCTTCAGAAGAGGTTGGGGGACAGACTGTCCCCGGACCTGGTCTGAAGGCGGTTTCCCTAGGAACGCATTAATTGATTTTCAATGCATTCCTATGGGAAACCGTGCATCGCAAGACGAAAAAACCGCAAGACGAAGAGACTTGCGGAACGAATTAATTTCGTCTTGCGAGGCACCACTGTACCAATTGCTGGGAAACCCAGAAAGGATGAGTTGGTCTTGCACTAAGGTCCCACTTATGGGTTTCCCATAAAGGCATCTAGTTGTGGCCACTGTGAGAACAGGATACTGGACTAGATGGGCCATGTGGCCTGATCCAGCGGGCTCTTCTTATGTTCATTGTAGTGTAGTAGTTAAAGCGTGTCAGACTAGGACCTGGGTGACTGGGGTTCAAATTCCTGCTCAGCTGCAAAACCTGGGTGGGTCACAGTCTTCTCTGTCTAACCTACCTCACAGGGTTGTTGTGAGGATTAATCGGGAGGAACAGAACTGTGTTCTACCACTTTGACCTCCTTGGAGGAAAGGTGGGGCACAAAAGAATAAGCACAAGAAATCTCTGCCGAAAACTGATTCTAAGCAACTCTTCATATCAAGCTGGAGGGTTGACTTTGAATCAGCCTGTTGAATTTCTACCTCTTGTGAGGCTTTTAAGGAGCCTTTTCGCTCGCAAGCATAGTGTAATTTGTGTCTAAATCCTACAAGACCTCTCTATTTTGGCCCTCAGGACTTGCCCCAGGCCTCATCCTGCATTTGCCCTGGTCAAAATCGTGTCCTTCAACTCTGATCAGGCCAATTTTTTACCTGGATGGAAGATCGAGAGGTGAGTGGGAGCCAGCCTACTGACACTGACATCCGTTGCCCCAACCCATTTTTGGTTCTGGCCCTGCCCACCACTGCCATGTGGCCCCTGGAAGTTCAGGGGTATTTATTTATTTTTCTCAAGTTGTGTGTCCTTCTCAGTTGGATCCTTTTACATGGTTTTGCACGTTGTGTGGTATTTTATGCATTGTGACTTGCCGTCATTTTTATTGATATAGTTTAGTAATTCTTAATTGTAAGCTGTTTAATTACTATTCGCTGATATTTAATTTTACCATTTACTAATATAATCTAACTGATTGTTGGAATATTGCTTTATTTGATATCAGCTTATTTTAAAGTTATTGTGACTTTCTTTTTGGTATTGGATCAGATTGCTATTATGGGTGAGCTCTTTGCTGTCGATTTTGTTGTTTGTTCAGCTTGTGAACCGCTTGTGTAGTATAATATAGTAGAAAGGCGGTATACAAATTGAAAGCGAAATGAAATGCCAAGATGGCGAAATGTGTCCTCACATCTGCTCTACCCTATCAGTCTGACTTGGCATTCACCAGTGATGTCTTGCTTCATTCAGATCTTGCTTATGAACCTCTAAGTCCCCTGCAGACCTGGATGGCAGGGCCTGACCCAGCATTGCTTAACCGGATCCATGAAGGCATCTGCTGAGCTGGGGATCCAGCCCCGCCAGTTCCAACGCAGTGGGAGGAGAGGCTACAGGGTCACGGCCAAAGCCTCCTACGTGGACGAGTCGCTCTTCGGCAGCCCTGCAGGACGACTGAACGCCAGAGCAGAGTTTGACCCGCCGTGGGTGTGTAAGAAAGCTAGTTCTCCGAGACCCCTTTTGTGGAGTCCCAAGACAACACAATGGGAGGTGGACACCAGCCCCTCAACAGCCGCCCCGCCCACCAGCACTCCAAGAAAGGGAAATAAATACAGGTAGGGGAGGTTTTTATATGCCTGTTGTCTTTGTCCATGGAGTTTTCTTGGCAGGGATACTGGAGTGGCTTGCCGGTTCCTGCTCCAGGTGGATCACGTTTGGTCAAAACTCTCCACTATGACCTGTCCATCTTGGGTGGCCCTGCACGGCATAGTTCATAGCTTCTCTGAGTTATTCAAGCCCCTTCGCCACAGCAAGGCAGTGATCCATGAAGATCCATATAGTTAAAGCTATGGTTTTCCCAGTAGTGATGTATGGAAGTGAGAGCTGGACCATAAAGAAGGCTGATCGCTGAAGAATTGATGCTTTTGAATTATGGTGCTGGAGGAGACTCTTGAGAGTCCCCTGGACTGCAAGAAGATCAAACCTCTCCATTCTTAAGGAAATCAGCCCTGAGTGCTCACTGAAAGGACAGATCCTGAAGCTGAGGCTCCAATACTTTGGCCACCTCATGAGAAGAGAAGACTCCCTGGAAAAGACCCTGATGTTGGAAAGATTGAGGGCACAAGGAGAAGGGGACGACAGAGGACAAGATGGTTGGGCAGTGTTCTCGAAGCTACCAGCATGAGTTTGACTAAACTGCGGGAGGCAGTGGAAGACAGGAGTACCTGGTGTGCTCTAGTCCATGGGGTCACGAAGAGTCGACAAGACTAAACGACTAAACAAAAACAGTGGAGGTTTTGAAGGAGCTGTGACAGTCAGCAAAAGTGAGATTTCCCTGCCGGGTTATTTATTATATTTATATCCTGCCTTTCCTCTAAGGAGCTCAATTTGGCACAACAACAGTTGTGTCCGCCCCCTCATTTTACCCTCCCAACAGTTGGCGGGTGAGGCCAATTTTCTTCAGCCTTGGACCCCCAGATGTCTGTGATGGAATGTCAGAGCCAGCAGTGGTGTAGCGGTTAGAGGTGTCAGACAAGAACCTGGGAGATCAAGGTTCGAATCCCCCACTCAGCCCAGAAGCTCGCTAGGTGTGGTCCTGGGCCAGTTAGGGTCTCAGCCTAATCTACCTGGCAGGGCTGTTGTGGGGAACTAAATGAGGAGCAGGTGGGGAGAACTGCTCATGCCACCTTGAGCTCCTGGGATAAAAATGCAATAAATAAGTAACAATCTCCCCATCATCCCTGACCATTGGGGGTAATGGGAGTTCTAGTACAGTAACAGCTGGAAAACCAAGGTTGAAGAATGCTGGGTTAGGCTGAGAGACTGTGGCTGGCTCAAGGTCATGCAACACTGCAAAAAAGAAAAAAGACTATGCCCTGATGTCCCCCACCTGATTTAATAAATGAGTAATTTCTCTTAAGATTTGTCCCAATATTGACTTCCAAGGCCCTTATTTGTGTGCCTCCTCCATGAGGGTTGCAAAACCAGAACGGGTCTTTTTTGCAGTGGCTCCCCGTTTGTGGAATGCTCTCCCCAGGGAGGTTCACCTGGCGCCTTCATTATACACCTTTAGGTGATAGGCGAAAACATTCCTCTTTAAACCAGGCCTTTGGCTGATTGACATCCAGTGCTCTTTCAAAATGTGTTGGGGAGGGAGGGATTATTGGGTTATTCTTGGTTTTGTTTTTATTTTATTTTTATAATGTATTTTGTGTTTTTATATTGTGATTTTATGTTGTGAACCGCCCTGAGACTTACGGGTATAGGGCACTATATTATTACTACTACTACTACTACTATTAATACCCCACCCTTCTGGCTGGGTTGCCCCAACCACACTTTATGCATGGTAATAACTTTGTGGTACTTAGCATGATTTCTCTAGGTATGGCTCCTGTTTCCAGTAAACATCTCTCTCTTTCTCTATCCCCATATCTCTCAATGAAGGCTGAAAAGTCACACCCCATCCTACTGCGATGAGACCCTGTTTGGGCCAAAGCCAGGGGGCTGGGAGCAGGCGACTCCCTGGATGGTGAAGGGTGAAGTGGCTAAGCTCCGCCCTTTGCTTTTGACTCCGCCTTCTGCTGCGAGGGACCGGCCAGTCCTTTCCCCTCGTCCGAAGGACATGCCCCTGAGAGCCTTCCATCGGGAGACACCGGACGCCCAGGGCAAAGAGGCATTTGGAACGTGGCGTGGAGGAGAAAGTTCTTCTTGGGGGCACCGTGAGAACTGCTTAGATGCAGACAGACAGGACTTTCTGGGGCGGGCGCCCCCCCAGCCTGTTATCCGGCTGTATAAAACTTCTGAGGGTTCCCAGGCCCACCTAAACAAGCCAAGGACAAGTGTGGAGCAGGATCACCAATGCTCAGTGGCTTCCCCAGGGTCTCTGCCTAGACCACGTTCGAATAATTTGTCTGGGTCGTCGTCTGCCAGGGTCATAAGAGCTACAAGCTCATGTAAGCCCAGGCCGCCCTGGAAATAAACAAATAAAAAGATTGCTGTTCTCACATGTTCTGCATGCAAAATGACCACTGAAAGGGATGTGCTGTTTGCCCATGTTCCGTAAAGAATCTTAGCTGGTGGGCTAGCTAGCCATATCAGTCTTTGCCTGTTCCTTTGGTGCTGAGAGCAGTTGTGACAGCAGTACTGCCCTTCATTTGTAGATTTCAAGGTGATTCATAATTTAAAATATTAACACAAACAGTAAATGACCTCTTATATCGGTCGTATTCCTGCAGTAATAATGATAACAATCCCAAAGGAGCTCAGGGCAGCATAACTGTTTAAAACCTTCTCTCAAAACACTTGCCAGGAACAGTGTTTTTTTGGCCATCAAATGCCTGGGTAAACAGGAATGCTCTTTGATTTCTCCTGAAAGTAATAAGGAAGACAGACGCACCTCACCAAGAAAGGTATTCCACAAGTGGGGAACTGTCACTGAAAAGGCCCTGCCATGGGTCAGAGGGGATGATGGGAGTTGTAGTCCAGCAACTTCTGGAGGACACCATGTTGGCCAAGGAGACTGGTTCAGATCCCTGCCTCATGCGTGTTGGTTATTGGGGTGGTCTCGGGCAGATCCATGTTTCTGTCCAACTTGTTCTGGGCATAAAAAGCTGAACTTCTTGGATAGGTGAAAAGGATATGAACCAAGAAATAAGAGGAGGTAGGAGAGAAGTTTTTTTTCCATCCCAAGGACCACATTTGCTTTGGGGGGGGGCACAAGCCAGGGGTGGGCAGGGCCACAAGCAAAAGTGGGTGGAGTGATGAATGCAAATTTTACTTTTTACAGTGGCCTAGTTTCTCTCATACACCCCTCTCCTCCATCCATGCAAGCAGGAGGCATATCCCAGAGTTCAAGGAGACAGTACAGTCAGGCAAAAACATTTGGGAGTGCAAAGCAGGGACCCTAACGAATGCAGCTTGGGGAAGATTCCTGCATTGCAGGGGATTGGACTAGATGATCCTTGGACGTCCCTTCCAACTCAACGATTCTAAGATTTCTGTGGGCCAGAGCGAGACCCTGGGCCTTGGGTTCCCCACCCCTGAAATACGAGTTTTGCCCCTGCAGTTCTTGAGCACGGTTAGAACAAGTTCTGTGCAAAGCTTCCCCTGCGGTTTCCTTTCAAACCTGGAGAAAGGAGAGAACAGCTCTTTTACAACTTTGCCTACCAGGCTGATAGCATTTATTGAGGAACGACAAACCTCCCTTGGGAGTGCTAAATACCCATTCTGGACGATCTGGAATGGACTTGGCTGCCTGTGACCGGGGACGGGGCAGGGCAGGAAGAGGTGAAGGCTCACTTCCTCCCTCTCCTCCCTTTGCCCTTCTTCTTCCTCTTGGACCGTAGCAGCGATCTCACCAGGTAGCCCTTCCACAAGGCTTGGATGAGGGTGGCAGCTCGGACCAGGATGGCCAGCTCCTTCTCGGCCTTCTCCTTCTGCTCCTGCTTCACCCTCCTCTCCTCCTTGATCTGGCTGTATTCCTGATCCAGCAGCGCATGCTTCTCTCTCAGCTCTGCCAGCTGTTCCTTCTCTACCACATAGACCACGTCAATCTCCTCGATCTCCTCCTGGGAATGGACAAAGGCCTGGCATTTAAGCAACTGCCTCTACATCTAACGGAACTGATCTCTTGACATATTCTGAAATAATTTGGACATATTGTGAGCTATAGGAGGCGGTAGGATGTGATGCCCCTTGCAGCAAAGTGTCTTGTGGTGCTTAAAGACGATGGCCCCATCTGCACTGTGCTTTGAAAGCAGTATTATGTTGTGCCCACAGCAGGTTCTCAGATTCTTAATTCATGTCCCTAAAGGGTTGGAGACCTCTCCTTTAAGTTGCTACAAGATTCCTGAATTGTGATCCAAGAAAGAGAAGGGGGACCAGTAGTTCTGCCCACCGACCTGTTCTCTTACAAGCCCAAATAGGGCAAATAGAGTTTTTTAAGCCCCTCTTACCCAGTCTGAGCAGCAGAAAGGCCTTGGCAAACCTCCTTTTGTAGCCTGAGCATGCTCCCTAGCAGGTAGCAAGTTGCCAATGACGCATTAGCGCAACAGGACCCTGTATTTGGTTTCCTTGTTGGCCATCAATGAAAAATCTACTTAAGTCACGGACAGGCAACATGGTACCCTCCAGATGTTGTGGACTACTACTCCCATCATCCTTGACCAGGCTGGAGTCCAAAACATCTGGACGGCACCACACTTTTTTTTGCACCTGTACAAGTTCACATTCTGGCTTGAAAAGAAAAGAAAACATGAACCGAAGGATGCTTTTGTTGTGGTCCAATTAACCAAACCAGCAATGCCAGACCAGCTGGCTGAGCAATTTCAAATAATTTGTGAGGAGGCTGAAACAGCTCGGTTTCCTAGGTAATGTTGCAATCATGGAGGTAGGAAAGGGAACCCGGCTGAAGTAAGGAAAGTGGGAGAGTTATCCTATGTCAGTGCCCTGGGAGGTTTTGCTGCTTAACGTTTGTGAAATGACCTCTTATGGGCAAAAAAAGGCTCAGACTTGGGTTGACAACAGTACCTGCTTTTCTAGCATCTCAATATCATACTTCTGGACCCAGTTCTCTATTTCCATCTCCACTTTGTATTTTTTCTAGAATAAATAAGAGAAGAAAATCATTTCCAAAGTTTCAGGGTTAAGCTGGGGCGGCTGGCTATACTAGTAGATGACATTTCCATTGAAGGCAACCAACAGTCTCTGGACAGCTTTAAGCGTTCAGATATTCTGGGCCTGGTAACACAGTCAGCTGGTTCACACAACCACACTGAACCAAACTTTGGCACCGTGAGACTCTGTGAAATTGCAGGTTCCTGGGGATGAGCTCAGCTCACAATTACTTGACTCTCCACCCCCAGCCTTTTGGGGGCCAGAGTTTACTACACTGAGTAAGCCAAGGTTTGGCTTAGCATGTTGTCTAAGCAGAAACTCATGGTTAAAGCTTGTGGTTAGTGAGGAGAGAGCTATGATTCTGAGTTTGGACAACACACTCAGTCAAACTCAGCACATTTGTGTAGCCTTGCTAAGTCAAGTAAGTGGCTGGCTCCAGTTGCATAGTCATTTAGCTACAACGATGGCAACCAGCTGAGTTTATTAACCTGATAGGTGCTGTTTATCCCATTTATATGCACCAGAGATGCCCATCTTCTGTACACTTGTGGTTTCCATTCTACAGCCAGCAGCAGGCCATGGCTGGGTCTATTCTGGCATAAATTGACTCCTGCAAGACTTCTCTAGAGCCAGAAATGGTTTTGCAGTTGAAGTGCTCATGTAGGTGCACAAAACCCAATGTTTTCTGAAAATGCATGTAGGCCTCCCCAAAGAAAGCTTTTTAAAAAAACTTGTTAAGCCTAGCCACCTTCAGAGTAAATCGACTTGTTCAATAGGTATAGAGTTTCAATGCACAACAATCCTTTCCAGTCATAAAGAAATTGTCTTTTAAGTTTGGCTGGGAGACAATTTAAAAATTGGAAAGTATTCTTAATTCAGATACTGAGTACCACCACCCTTGGAAGAATGTACAGTTTACCAGTTTGATAACATTGGTTGCAATGGAGGAAGGGGATTGGCCCAGGTGGCTGTTTGATTCCAGCTCTATCCCAGGCTTGCACTTCTAAGCCACTGTGGCCAAATCAGTCCACAAGATCTATGCTACAACCTGCCATGTGCTAGATCAGGGATGTCCAACCAGTAGATTGTGATCTACTGGTAGATTGCAGGATCCTTATTGTGTACAAAAAGTTAATTGGAGAAAGGTCTCTGGCTGATTTCGGACTGCGATTCCCATCATCCCTGACAGGTCCTGCTAGCTAGGGATGATGGGAGTTGTAGTCCAAAAGCAGCTGGAGACCCAGGTTTGGGAAACTCTGGTCTAGTGTTGTTTTTGCCAACCTGGTCTCCTGGTTGGGCTATGTTTGGACTATGATTCCCAGCTGCATTGGCTGGGGCTCATGGGACCTGCAGTCCAAGATATCTGGAAGGCATTGGGCTGTTCTAGTAAGAATGCTCAGACTGGCAGTCCTGTGAATTATTCTCTTCGGAGAACAATTGCTTTGATCACCTCTGCTTACCTTCCGGAGAGCAAGTTCAGACTCCCGGTCCTCCACAATGAGGGCATTTAGTGCGGCTCTGAGCTGATTCAGCTCCTGCTGCAACTTGGCACACTTGCCCTGAGACCCACGTAGCTCCGTCTTCTGCGCCTTCTCCGCTTCGGCTCGGGTGCGCAGGATTTGGTTTTCGGAGACCTTGGAAAGGCTGTGCAAGTGGGTTTTGAGGTCCTTGATTGTGGCGTTCTTCCTGGAGATCTGAATGGCACCAAGCTGGGTCAGCAGGACTTTGCAATCCAATGCACAAACACCAATTCATTTCAAATGACAACACAAGTCAAGAGAACCATTTAAAATAATGCTGCTGAGGATCTGGGAAGTAGAGATCAGACATTGCAGAAGCCTGCTGGAAGTAACATTGAGGGCCTTTTTGGTATTGGCACCCCAACTATGGAGAACCTCCCTAAACAGGCTCACTTAGTGCCTTCTCTATGTCTTTCTGGCACCTCTTTATTCACTCAGGCTGTGTTTTAAATCTGTTTTATTTCCTTGACTTTAATTAGGATATATTATATAATTATTGATGGGCAGCTGCATAAGTTTTAAGAAATCAACAATATCAACCAATGGCACCTCCAGTCTTTATTATACTGGAGCTGTCTACTGATCCTATAGCCTTGCAAAAGGCACAGCTGAAAGCTGAAGCTGGGAGATAACTCCTGTTCTAACAGTGGGTAACCAATGTGGTACTCTACAGAAATCGCTGGTCTACATTTCCCAGCATCCCTCACCACTGGCCATGCTAGAGCAGCTGGGAGTTGTAGTCCAACAACATCATTCTTTTCCGCCAGCAGCCTTTCTGGTTGTGTGATATTTTGCAATTCTTTTGATACAGTTTTGGGCTGGATGACTGCTCTGCACCAGTCAAATCCCAAACTGACTGCCCCACTGCTGC